TTCCTGTCTAGATCATTAACTAGAAAAAGGTCAAATTATTTCTCTCTCTCAGATGCAGCCTGATTTTTGAGTATTTTCAGTATTTTCTATTTTTATTTCAGTTTTTCAGCACCAGCAGTGTTTTGTTTTCATGTTTACATTAAAATTCAGATCTGCCATGATATCTGCCATTATCAATGAACATCTTCATTTGTTTAAATGCAAGCTGTCTTTCATTGTTTAATGATAAATTGCCTCGAGGGGTGGAAGGTTATCTCTTGTGACCTCAACTGGATATTTCTATCTTTCACTTACATCTCTCCAACCTTTCCAGAGACAGCAGAGCAAATTTTGAACGAAACAAAACCTAGTATTAATTGGCAAGTTACATTATTTTACAGTCAGATGCATGTTTAGAACTGTTGTTCAATTTCATTTTCATTAAATTCTACAAAAGAACATTGCATACTTATATCAGTTCATCCTACTTAACCCAAGGTAACATCTAAATCTCCTCCGGCACTTTTAATCTCAAAATACCCTGCAATCCTCTATTTAAAAACTTGAAGACTATGAATGTGTTTTTCTCCTATTTCCTGTAGGTTTTACTTGATACTTAAATCAACTCAATTCCTTTCTATGAAGAATGGTCATTAAAATATCTCAACACGAGGTCTGTTCTTTGCAGAAGCAACTAACAGCACGTTAAAAGTAAAATCATGATACTGAAGTTTACTGCACGTGTGAGGAAATTGGAGTTGGTTAGACATTAGAGAGGAGCTGAAGTGTTTGACTTATACTGTCAGATCCACATATTGCAACGTACATCTGCAAACTCATTATGGGCAGATACACATGCTTAGCACCAATGAATACTTTTGTAAGCTGCAGTCATGTAGTTAAAGTTGGGCAGACACACATCTTTAGCTGTTTTTCTTAGATCCCAGATCAAGAGAGCTTTGGTGGAATCTTTCATGACCGAGGCTGTACCACATCATACTGTTCTCACATCACATCCTATAATCATTAGGAAAGCCAGATGTCACATGCCGGGGTTTCACACAATAACTAGCAGAGCAGACATCCTTAAGTTGTTGCACAAAAATCAGTAAAACAACCAACGAGTTACTCAGGTCTACGCACCAAGCTTTGAAAGCTCATTGTCCTCGGGAGAAGGAAACTGCAATTCAGATCCATGCTCGACAAAAATGTACAATTATCCACCACTATTCTCTGCTAGGTGTGATAGGCTATAGGTCACATGACTACTTTCTTAGCTATACGTTGATGCTTTCGTTTGTGCATGCATCTAATCCTGTGCTCTCAGTTCATTCGGTAGTGGCACATTTTAAAGCATGCTTGGCGTGGCATCCTCACGGAGTCAGAGCTGTTCTCCTGGATTGATGTTGGTCATTGTCTGAGGAACGCACAGTTAAAGACTGCAATCACATCAATGCCTGATGGAACTTCGGGCTCAGTTCTACTTTTGTACCAACTTCTCAAACCCCTCCCAACTTTAGGGGGCAACCACTGCTGATGGAAGCCACAAACAGTAGTGGTCATGGACCCTTTCACTTTTGCACCTCTAGGAATGTCCCAAAAATTCCAGCAGGCTTTTTGGTTAAGGTGAGGCTTTTAAAAATTTGAAGAATTAAAAATAGTTTAAAATGCTTCTAACTGTTTTAATTGTTCTTATTAAATTGTTTAACCTTTACTCTTGACATGATTTTAAGTTCTAGTGATTAAATAGATGGTAAAGTGCATTAGATCTCAGTGCATTAATGTAAATGAATCAATAAATCAAAGAAAAGCAAACACAGCTGTTCCCAAATACGTTCAATTTCTGCTTCCATTTTTTAAATTACAGAAAGGATATGCAGTGGATCAGGGCTGTTTAGAAGTGAAATGGTTGTGGAGGATGGGGGCCTAGGAAACTGAGTCACAGTGTGGGGTAATGATGGGTATGGGGTTGGAGGGCAGAAGCCTGGTGAATTGGTTATTAATTGCTCAGCAAGTTTATTTCTAAACTCATTTGAAGCCCTCCCTATACAGTTACTATTAATTATTTTCAACCCAGGTCCTATACCTGTAGTTAACAGCATGAATAGGCCCTACTTCAGTTGATATTAATAATCCCTCTTCCTTGGACACTATCTTCCCTCACCCACATTACACACCCTCTTCAAATCTTGAATCATCAACTCCTTACCAAAACATAATTCACAAAGCATCAACTCTGCCACCCGTCATTTTTTTTTTCCCCAACATCACAAAATCTCTGAACATGTCATCGTCTGCCAAACCTTTCCCACAATCCCATGTTGGAATCACTCCAATCCTGTTTCTAGCCCCACCACAGTACTGAAACAGTCCTTACCACGGTCACAAATGGCATTCTTTTTTACTATGTCACTGCAGTATACTATCCCTCCTCAGATTTCGCAAACTGTTAGCAGCCTTTAACACGGCTAACTAACGCCGATCTGATGCCCAGCTAGACAGAACTGCTCCTTTGTTCCAATTTTACCTTTCAAATAGTATCCAAAGAATTACCTGCAATGGCATCTCTCACACTCCCACACTGTAATCTTGAGTCCCTAATAATCTATTCTTGCCCCTATGTATTTATCACCTACAAGCTGCCACTTGACAATATCATTTGTTAATACAACATCTGAAAATACATTAGGTTGCATAAACAATTGACATTCTGCACTACCTCACCAACATCTCCCCATAACTTTCTGCATTCTTTGACAGTCATAGTTTGCCCAATTTTGGGCAATTATTGAAGGTCAATCATCTCAGCCTCAGGGCTTGGCCTTGGCCTAGAGCAAATTCCCAACAACATTGAGGAAGTTCAAGTTCAAATTCATTAGGATATTGAAGACTTGAGCTAAGTAGGAAAGTTTTCACTGTCATATGTGACCTTTTACAGCACCGTTACAAATATTGCCATAGCCATGACCTTTCCAATAACAAAGTGAAGTTTTACTCCATTAAAAGTGCCATATAAATTACCAGCTGCTATTGCATACAATGAAAATAATAATAATTTTTACTCTAAGGAAGTCACTTTGAATAAAAAGCGGTTGTTAGTTTTCCTGCTGTTACGCACAGAATTTTATATAAGTAGCAACATCTCTCAACAGGGTATTTTCACATCCCTAATATCAATAGTAAATTACAAATTGGCTAACAGAAGGAGGTACATCCTGATTAGCACTGAAAAGGTCATTTGTAATGATGCTGTAGTTCTAATTGCCAACTGTGTTGACTGTAGAATCATACAGACATAGAGATATACAGCACAGAAACAGAACCTTTGGTCCAACTCGTCCATGCCGGCCAGGTATCCTAAATTAATCCAGTCCCATACCCCTTTAAGCCCTTCATATTCAGATTCCCATCCAGATGCCTTTTAAATGTTGTAATTGTACAAGCTTCCACCACTTCATCTGGCAGCTCATTCTATACACGCATGACCCTTTGCATAAATATTTGCCCCTTTAGGTCCACCTTCAACTTAAACCTATGCCATCTAGTTTTGGACTCCCCCACCCCAGGGAAAAGACCCTGTCTATTTACCCTATCCATGCCCCTATGATTTGATAAACTTCTATAAGGTCACCCCTCAACCTCCAATGCTCCAAGGAAAATAGCCCCAGGCTATTTCAGCCTTTGCCTATAACTCAAACCCTCCAAACCTGGCAACATCCTTGTAAATCTTTTCTGAACCCCTTCAAGTTTCACAGCCTCCATCCTATGGCAGAATGACCAGAATTGCACACAGTATTCCAAAAGTGGCCTAACCAATGTCCTGCACAGCCACAGCATGACCTCCCAACTCCTATACACAATACACTGCCCAATAAAAGCAAGCACACCAAACACCTCCTTCACTATCCTCTCTACCTGCTACTCCACCATCAAGGAATTATGAACTTGCACTCCATGGTCACTCCCCACTACCTTACCATTAAGTGTTCAAGTCCTACCCTGATTTGCCTTTCCAAAATGCAGCATCTCACATTTATCTAAATTAAACTCCATCTGCTACTCGTCAGCCCGTTGGCCCATCTGATCAAGATCCCATCGTACTCTGAGGTAGCTTTCTTCGCTGGTCACTACACCTCCAATTTTGGTGTCATCTGCAAACTTACTAACTATACCTCTTATGTTCACATCCAACTAATTAACATAAATGATGAAAAGCAGCAGACCCAGCACCAAGCCTTGTGCACACCGCTGGTCACAGGTCTGCAGTCTGAAAAGAAACTCTCCACCACTGTTCTCTGTCTTTTACCTTTGAGCCAGTTCTATATCCAAATGGCTAGTTCTCCGTATATTCTACATGATCTAACCTTGCTGACCAATTTACCATGAGGAACCCTGCTGAATGCCTTACAGAAGTCCATGTAGATCATATCCACCGTTCTGCCCTCATCAATCCTCTTCGTTACTTCTTCATCAAACTCAATTAAGTTAGTGAGACACGATTTCTCATGCATAAAGCCATATTGACTACCACTAATCAGTCCTTTCCTTTCCAAATACATGTAAATCCTGTCCCCCAGGATTCCCTCCAATCGATGTACAGTTCCCTGGCTTTGCCTTACCAGCTTTCTTGAATAGTAACAGGTGGCATATGACAGTGATAGTCTTCCTACTTAGCCCAAGTCTTCAACATCCTGATGAACCTGAACATCCTCAATGTTTCCCCAAGTCAGTGATCTAGGCTTTCCCTCGACTGGCTTTTCACAAGCATCAAACAAATAAAAATGGGAAAGGCACCTCCACAGGACCAGGAGAAAAAAATGATAATTTTAAAACAGTGAGTTCCAGAAAGTACACCCCTAAGTCATTGTTTTTGTAAGATACAATTAAAAGACAACCTATATATAGAAATTCTTTATGTTGAGGCTAAGAAAAAAAAATCATTAAGCTTTGCACATTAGTCAAAACCTGGTGCAAATCCATAGGTTTTCCATTAATTAAAAACAACAGGATAAGGGACTTACTTCCAGCTTCCATGAATACCTCTGGTAGGTAGGTAAAACCACTTGCTGGTTCCAGTGGATTACCACAGCGTGCATGCTCCCCAGGACGCTGAAGATTAATTACCGTCTTTATGCCATGCCTGAAGCGGGAGTAAGCAGTCAGTTTCTATTTGAAACATGGATCAACAGTTAAAACTTTCCACTTATATAGTGCCTTTCACAACCACCAGATGGTTAAAGCTTTTTATGGTCAATGAAACCATTTTTGAATGTAATTACAATGGTAGGATAGGAAACACAGCAACTAATTTATGTACAGCAAATTAGTCAACAACTGCAATGTGATCATAACCAGATCTGCTTTTCAGATATTAGTTGAGGGATAAATAGTGACCAGGGAAATCAGGGTAAACTTTTTTGATGGAAACCTTATTTCACACAAACCACAGGCACTTGAGCTCTTGATTTGCGAGTATGGCTTTAGAACATTGCATCCTCAACTTATTTCCAGACTCAGCTTGAGAAATAAAGATACACAATAAGAAGAATTTGGGTGTGAAATTAAAGCTGTTTTTAGAAACTTAGTACATTTAATGCAAACTCATATAGTTCTTAAAATGAAGTAAAATGATAGAGGGGAATCAGGGCTTGCCAGGCTCCTACTAAACCCCTGTACTAAAAAAAACTCAAAGATTTTCTTCATGAAGATAATGAAGAAAAAGATAATTCATCATGCTTTTTTTTTGGAATAAAATTATACAATAGAATATTGAACTGGCACTTCAATAATCTCCCATGCTCAAAATGATATACAAACGTAGTTGAAGAAAATCTAGAAAAACTTCTGAATCAAGTTGTCATTGACAAACGTCCCTGTGTAAAAAAAAACATTTTTACCATAGACCCTTAAAAGACGTACTGATTTCCACCATAGAAGGCTCACTTATATAGAGACAAATAACTTACAGCACAAAAGACAGCCAGCCATGTCTATACCAGTTACTACTTTAGGTATTACTTCAAATATTACTTAAAGTACTTTTAGCATTCTGGAGAAGAAGCTCTATCTAAAACACCCACCAATCTTTTCTCTTCACAAATGCTAACAGGCCTGTGTATGCCTTGCAAATTGTTTAATTACTTTTGATTTCCATTATTTCTTATTATTTCTAAATGCTTTAAGATTTAACATGAGGATTTGAAGTGAATTAAAGTATTACAAAACAGGCATTAACATGCTTACTATGAATAATATTCATCAATAAAGATGCACAAATTCACAACACTTTGTGCTGAAGGGAATCTCATTGCTATGCCAAAACGCAAGAAATAATCTATTACTTTCCTTGATGCATATACTTTTTGCAGTACATTGTTCATTTTTGTGGAAGTTTTGTCAGTCTAAGCAATTTCAAGTACCAAATAATTATCAATAAGTTGGCTGCACTGCATAATGGAAACAAAAACAGATTTAGAAACTTGATAATGGCAATGTTCCACAAAGTCTCATCTAATTTTTTGGACATAGAAGGACAACATTGTTAAGATAGATTGGCTTTGAAACTAGCTGCAATTTCATCATAGTTAAATATCCAATGGATTCTCATTGTTTGAGCTTATACATTAAAAATAATCACCTAAGTAACAAAGTTAATGACTAGAGACCTTATGAAATATATCCTGGCAAGTGATGTTGCCCACAGAAGAAACACAGAGAAATGTGAATATTTGCAAAATGTTGCTCCTAAGAACTGCACAACAGAAACTTCTGCTCTAGCTAAAGGATACCTTTGAAATTGTTCAATAATGCTGTATTTTTCAATAACTTCCGTGGAAGGACGAGCCATTGCCAATATGTTGTCAGTTATCCTACAAATACAACAAAACTATTGTTAGGATAAACTGCGCACATGCATGAATTACTTTAGCAAGCGAAGTACTCTACATGTTCTTTACTTACAAAATATCAAGTAATTCATTGAAAATTAGATATATTCACAGGCAGGATGTGCATTTTATGTAAAATTCCAATATTGATGATACAAATGAAGAATAATATTTAAAAAGCTAAAGACATAAAATTAATTTCTCTTACTTCAATACATCCTGAAAATGTTTGCTAATGTACACTTTTTAAGAATCATTACAACTTAGACTGTGGCCATAAGAAGCGGTACGTAAATAAACGGACATATTGAGGTGACCTCATTCTCAATTCATCCAAAACTTGCGGCACTTTTCTGCATGTTCAGATATCCTCTGAATACAAACAATTGTTCTAGATTAACCAGATATCCTCAAGGAACTGGCAAACAGGGATGTGAATTAAGATCGCGATTCTCTAGCCTTCATTTTAAATTTTAATTGGGTTGACTCTGGTTTATCTTCCAGTGCTGATCAATGCAAACACTCTCAATGAGCATATTTGAAATCAGGAGTAAAACAAATTGAGGTGCTAATTACAAAGGAAACATCGCATTTTATGTAAGACTATAATTTGGTGTCAGAAGGGTATGCAAGCAGGAATAATTTGATATTAAGCTGTCAGTGTCTTTCATTAGATGATAGTCATGAATTTCAGTGCTCTAATGGACTAATAGTACAAGCCACAACCATATGTAGTGTTGCTATCAAGAAGCTGAGAAACTGGTTTCTCCATAAATGTTATTTTTATAAAAACTAAAAATAGAAAATAGACAAACAAATAAAACATTTCAATAGCAATAAATATCATTGATATTTATTTATTTACTGATAAGAAACCGTATTAATAACAGAACAAAAAATATTCACTGGAAAATCTCTTCAAATGATAGTTATAAACTTTGCTGCTGTGTTTATGGTATCAATTGAAATGTTCAGTATGACTACATTTTTGTAATTACTCCCTAGTAACATTATTCTCTCCAGTCTTTTATGTGACATTATATCCGTTCTAAACTTAACACTGAAAAAGGCCAAAGGTAAACTCGAGTTATTAAGGAGGATTGCATTGGTTGTTGAGAGTTGATAGCATGACTGCATGAAAAAGCAAAGAATTCCAGATTTTTGATCAAGTACATCCAAATTTGTTATACTTCTATTATCAAAAGAAGTTGCTATTTTCTGAACCTTCATTGGTGTAAATAGTTGGTAGCAAATCAGTGAGAGGTTGAAATAGTTGAGTGGTTTAGCATCTCATAAGAAAACAGGAGAGAGACTGCATGGACACAACAACATAAGGGTATTTTGATTTAGAAGATGAAGTTATGGAATAATATCTGCATCTTTCCTACAGCAGAGAGACGAGAATTGAATGCAGTATTTCAAAATTAGCCTAACCAGCGTCCTACATACCTCCCAACTACAATACTCAATGCACTGGCCAATCAAGGCAAGCGTACCAAATGCCTTCTTCACTACCCAGTCTACCTGCGACTCCATTTTCAATGAACTATGAACCTGCATTCCAAGGTCTCTTTGTTCAGCACCACTCCCCAGGACCTTACTATTCCGTGTATAAGACCTGCCCTACCAAAATGCAGCACCACACATTTATGTAAATTAAACTCCATCTGCCAGTCCTCAACCCATCAGATCAAGGTCCCACCGTACTCAGGAGGTAACCTTCTTCGCTGTCTACTACACGACAAATTTTGATGTTATCTGCAAATTTACTAACCATACCTCCGATATTCACATCCAAAATATTTATGTAAATGACATACAGCAGTGGACTCAGCACACCAGTGGTCAGGCCTCCAGTCTGAAAAGCAACCCTTCACCACCACCCTCTGTCTCCGACCTTCCAGCTAGTTATGCATCTAACTTGCTAGTTCTCCCCATATTCTATGTGATCTAACCTTGTTAAGCAGTCTACCATGAAAAACCTTGTCAAACACTATACTGAAGTCCATAGAGACCATTTCCAACACGCTGCCTTCATCAATCCTCTTCATCACGTCTTCAAATAACTCAAGTCAGTGAGACACAATTTCCCATGCACAAAGCCATGTTGACTATCACTAATCAGTCCTTGCCTTGCCAAACACATTTAAATCCTGTCCCTCAGAATCCGCTCCAACAACTTGCCCACCACGGATGTCAGGCTCACCGGTCTATAGTTCCCTGGCTTTTCCTTACCACCTTTCTTAAATTGTATATTTGGATTTTCAAAAGGCATTTAAGATATTGCAGAAAGGCTATTTAACAGGATAAGAACCCGTAGTGTTGAAGGCTGCTGATGAGCACAGAGAGAGGACTGGCTCACTAATAAAAGGCAGAGTTGGGATAAAAGGGATATTTTCAGAGTGCAACCTGTAATGGATGGAGTGTCACAGGGTTAAGTGCTGGGGCCGCAACTATTTATAATATATGTTAGTTACTTGGTTAGGGATAGTGAAGGTATTGTTGCCAAGTTTGCAAATTATATAAAAATAGTTGGGAAGGCAACTCGTGAGGAAGACACTAAGTTTGTAGAGGAATAAAGACAGGTTAAGTGATTAGCAAAAACTTGTCAGATGGAATATAATGTGGGAAAAATGTGAGATTACCACTTTTGCATGAAGAATAGAGGAGCTAGTTATTAATTAAATAAAGTTGACTGCAGCAAGTTGCAGCATGGATATGCGGGTCCTCATCCATAAATCCCAAGAAGCTACCACCTAAGTTTAGTGAATAATGGGGAAGGCTAATTCAATGTTGGCCTCTATTTCAAAGGGAATGGATAATAAATTAGAGGTGTCTTACTGAAACTATACAAGGCACTTGGCAAACCACATCTAGAATACCAGCATTGGAAGCTATCCAGAGAAAGTTCACTAGGTTGATCCTGGGTATGGAGGGATTTTGTTATGGAAAGAGGTCGAGTAGGTTGGGTTTGTACTCACTGTTAAGAAGAATAGAAGACCTTATTGAAACATATAAGATTCCCAAGGGGCTTGACAGGGTAGGTGCAGAAAGGTAGTTTCCGCCTGTGGGAGAATGGAGGACCAGAGGGCATAATATCAGGATAGTAGTTACCTGTTTAAATCAGAGATGAGGTGGAGCTCTAAAGGATAGTAACCATGTGTAATGCTATTCTGCAAAAAGCTGTTAAGACTCGATCATAAAGATTCAAGGCTGAGACAGGTTTTTAATAAGGGAATCAGAGGTATGGTGGAAAAGGCAGGGAAGTGGAATTGAAGGTGATCATATCATCTACGTTCTCACTGAATGGTGAAACACACTCGATGGGCCCAACGGGCTAATTCTACATTTTATGATCTTATAGATATCCATATGGTCTTTCAAAATAGGAAAAAAGGTGACAAAATCAGTGGAAAGCATTTTTAAAATACTTACACTTCCCAACTTCATCTGATGTAAAATACACAAATTTATAATTAACAGCACTGCACAGTAGCTAGCAATTTCAGCCTGTCCTTTAACTTTCAGTTTTTGGATCCTATTCCACAACCAACTGAGCAATCAACCTTCTGTTCTCTACAATTCTCCCATTAGCATCCCTCATCAAGTTCATCTTGTCCATGACAACTACTCCCATTTAGCTTCATCTCCTTAGCTTCATGCTTTCCAACATCAAAAATGTGTCCTTTCTCAAGTAGCATTCCTATGTCTTTCAAGACTGACATTGTCAATTCTCACCCACAATCTTTCCATTCTCTCCAATCATCACCGTTCTTTTAAAGATTTTGCTTTATTTACAACAGCTTTTCTTTATTAACATTACCGTTCCCCACTTCCCTTGATAAAGTACCCACAAGCCTTTTCTTTGACAGTGCCTTCAACTCCCATCTCACCATATCTCTATTATACCTCATCATTATTCAAATTTGTCCTCTTTAATGCAAAGTGCTTTGAGTCATTCTACGTGAGTGGTGCTTCTATAAATGTAACCATGGCTGTTGTAAATTTTAATTCATTAGTCCCCCCTCCCTACTAAAGGTTCTTTCAAATACTTTCAGATTAATTCAATACCTTTGCACTGTTATTATAACATCCTTCAGTTTAAATGGTATGCTTAAAAAAGAAATATCACAAAATGGTTTGACACAGATTATTGACCAGAATTTGCTGAAAATATGCAAATCAGTCAGCAAGTTTTGGTAAGGAAGGAATAACCTGTGAATTGGGAAGCTGCAGGGTGACTTATGCTGCTCTGCTGCCAGGATTGCATAAACTATGCCAGCATTCCCTGGAATATAGAAGATTGAATAATAATTTGATTGAGACTTTTAAGATTTTAAAATAAATTGACAAGACAGAAATTTATTTTGTTTGCAGGTGGGGAGGTCTCAGAAAAGGAGACATAACTTTAAAATTTATTGTTTGTACAGAAGTGGAGAAACTTTTTTTCATGCAAACGATGGTAGAAGCATGGAACTCAGTCTCACAAAAAAAATGTAGATGCTAGCTCAACTTTCAATCTGCTTCCGAGTTTGGATAATCCATGATTTCACAAAACAGTTGAACAGGCTTGAATGGGTGAATGAACTGCTCCTGTTCCAAGATTCCTAATTATCCATGAAATTCTGCTCAGAAAAGTTACGTCTAGTGGTCAAGAGAATAAATATCTTTCTAACAATGCAAGAACTGTTACAGAAAGCCAATCAATTCACTCACCAGAAAATAAGTAAATCACAGTGTGAGCCTCTTTTTCAGGTAGTGAATTTTTGGGGAATAAATGTTCCAAAGTTTAAAAATTGTTTTTTTTTTTAAACTTTTTTTTTGTTTCATTTTTCCCTCTTGATGAGTTAATCCGATCTTTCTTCGCCTCTACCGGATTTGTCACTGAATTTACCAATTTTAATATTTATCTTCTCAATCTTTCCTCATCTTATTTCTCAATTGTCAAAACCCACTGGTTAAAGACATACCTTGTTAGTCCTGTCATTCACCAAATTGCCAATACCATGTTCCGCTCACATGGTTGTTATCACTGGGCACTTCCAACAATTTGGTGGGCAAAAAACACTGAGCTGGAAGGTTCAGACAACTTAAGCACCAAGTTACCAGATTAATTGAAATAAATTATTAAAATTATAGCTCAGAAACATGAAAAACACACATCGTTATTCAGTCACAATAAAGATCATGGAATAGGACTCTTGTAACGAAAGATTATTGGTCAATTTAGGTGGAACATACAAGAAAAATAAATTTGGACTCTTGATATTCATTCCGTGATGGCTGTATTTGAAAAAAAAAAGTTCATTTAGATCCAGTTGGATGAGAACTAAATTTCTTTGGTTTGCTTTTTCCAAGTACAAATAAGTACAAACTCAGCAATTTCTCCTAAGATGCATGTAAACATTTTTTTTCATTCACAGCATGAGGGTGCCGCTGGCTAGGCAGCATTTATTGCCCATCCCTAATTGCCCCAGAGGGCAGTTCAGAGTCAACCACATTGCTGTGGGTCTGGAGTCACATGTAGGCCAGACCAGGTAAGGATGGCAGTTTCCTTCCTTAAAGGACATTAGTGAACCAGATGGGTTTTTCCAACAATCGACAACGAATTCACAGTCATCATTAGACTCTTAATTCCAGATATTTTATTGCATTCAAATTCTGCCATCTGCCACAGCAGGATTCGAACCCGGGTCCCCAGAACATTATCTGGGTCTCGGGATTAACAGTCCACTGGCCATCACCTTCCCCCTATAAAAATACATTCTTAGGTTTCATTATTGACGTCTGTCAGTGAAGCAAAGGCAATGGTACTTTTTTTTTTAAAATCGGCTTAGAAAGATTGCTTTAGCCAGATTTAAAATTCCACATAATGTACATTTAATACATTTTAATGTTAATTTACCTTTTCTAAAATATCAATGCCACAAATATAGTAATCTGAAAATTGTTAGCCACCTAATTATACAAGTTGTATAATTATTATTTTTTAAAATAACAAATTACTTTTGCTATGAATGCCGTTCCAAATTAATAATAATTCTACCACAATTTGTCGATATCCTTTACTTGATAACTTCATAAAATGTTTCCATTCTTTATGTCAGCGTAGTGCATATATTGGAGTAAAGTAATTAGTCAAGTATCAGTTAGTAACTGTTCTTTGAAAATAAAAAGTCAACAAGTAATACCATGAAGAGTATAACCCTTTAACAGCTTGCTCGTCTTCACTCCATCGGGATGGATTTTCATACTTGCATGCACGACCACCACATGCCATTGAGCATTGCATATGGCCTGGGATAACATGCCGCAGGCGTTCTCCAACTTTGGTATATTTGGCTGTTGGACGTCGCATACTGCCTGAAATGAAGAAACAGGTAATCAAGCACATTTCAAAGTGGCAAGGTAATAAATGTAATTAAAATGAATTTATTTAATGAGTTTGATCAATCAAGCTGTGAAAATAGTTGACTCAAACATTTATTTTCTTGTAGTAAACACATATTAATTGTTAGACAAAATATCAGAATACAAAGGCATAGTGTTAGAAGATTTGAATCAAATGATTTATTTTACTTTAAGTAAACAATCAACTTTCAAAAATGCCATTTTATCTCTGTAATAACTTTACAAATTACAAGACTAATGCAGCGCAGGAATGCACATCAGAAATTCAAAATCAGGTTTCCCAAAACTTTCCATTCAGTAAAATTCCCTATATCAGCCCAAGTTGGGAAGGTTCAAGCTCTCTCATAATATTAACTCCACAACATTTAGCACGGTTATATACTAAATGTACAATTTATGTACATTTAGTATATTCACAACCACCATTTGAAATTTGGTTTAAAAATAAATTGCAGTTTTATCAACATCCAAGACACACTTCTGTAAAAACATGCACGAAACAGTCAAAAATAAACAGTTGAAATATAAAACACCAAAAAACTAAAACTGTTGCAGTTTGAAACGTATGCATATATCTGTTGTGTTGAAATCCTAAATAATAACATCAAAATGAAGTACTTCTTCCTGGTAATAGGCTAGTTTTAGCCTCTTCAATACTGACTGATGATACAGCAACCATAACCTGGTGAGATGTAGATGAAAGCATCTCTATGGCTGAGCTCCGACGTCTCTGCAAAACTCTGACCAGGCTATCAGAAGCAGAGTGCCTCTGACTCTGGATGAAGCTGCTCAAATACTCTACTGCTGAATGCCTTCTAGAAGATCCCTGCATGATGATTTGCTTGAAACACTCAAGACTGCCACCACTGAACAGTTACAGCTTGCAAAAAACAAATCAACAGATTACAGGGAAGTTACACTGCAATCTGATGATATTCTGATAGACTACATCAGTCCTTTAGGAGAGGCTAAGGGGTTTCCATAGTAACAACTAGCAGAGCCAATTATGATAGTCTATGTAGGCAGCATGTTATGTCATGCTGCAGTTTGGGAAAGGTGTCATTCTATTAGGCAATATCTTTGCTGTTTAATAGACCAATTGTGCAGCTGCTTCATACATCAGGTTTGGAAGCTTTGCGTTTGTGTGTATCAATGTAGCATGTTAAATAAAATTAATTATTCTTTGATCCATTCTGTAATATGCAATGGAATAATAAACTACTTCACAGGGAAAAAAAAATCAGTGTTTCACGCATGTGCTAATTGACAAAGAACCTCACAGTATTAGCTCACCTTCCTGCACTAAGTTTGTAAATCCAGCTGATCGGTCTTTTTTTGGTTGACAAATAAAATGCTCTATGAATATGGCGAGCTTCTGCCTAGATCATCCTTTCAGTTACTGAATTCCTGGTCCCTACCATGTGGGTGGAAAAAAAACATTTTGCTATCTCCCCTCTCACCCTTCAACCATTTACTTTAAATCTATGCCCCTGTTCAGAAAAGTGAGGGGCCTGGAGTAGAATTTGCTCCCCTGCACCAGGAGGGGATTGCCAGGCTCCCTCACAAATTGACAATATGAACCATTGTCTTTCTAACAAAATCAGTACTGTGCATTACTAATTTATTCATAGCGTCACAGAATCATACAGCATGGAAACAGACTCTTCGATACAACTAGTCCATGCCAACCATGTTCCCAAACTAGACCAGTCCCACCTGCCTGTATTTGGCCTATATCTCTCCAAACCTTTCCTATTCCTGTACTTATCCAAATGTCTTTTAAATGTTGTAACTGTACCTGCATCCGCATCCCATTTGTTCTAATTTACACTGCAGTATTAAAATGAAGCTAAATTGAATTCAATTTCACAACTGGCAAATATGAATTTTGAACTCACCGCCTCTGGGTTGTTAGTTCAGTAAAGTAGCTAAGCAAGTTTATTAAAATATTAAATATTAATTTACCTTTGTCTGAAGTTACAATATACCTCCTATGTTCTAATGAAGAGTAAGGCAGTTCAGGATGTAGGGAAATTCTTGTAGCCATGGCAGTATCTGTTGAAATATACATAGATATCTAATTTATTGTATTGGCACACACTTGCTATGTTTGCTCCTAGATTTCCTATACCACACCTTACCTATCATGTTTTCCATTACATGCTCATAGAATCAGGGAATTATGTCCCCTTGAAAGAAAATATGATTAACTCTAAAGAATAAATGTATGATCATTTAGCAGCCAACCTTAACATAAATTGCATTTATTTCAATGCAAGGAGCCTGACAGATGAACTTAGAGCATGGTTGGGAATGTGGAATATCATAACTATTACAGAAACATGGCTCAGGGAGGTATAGGACTAGCAGCTTAATGTTCCAGGGCATAGATGCGATGGGAAGAATAGAAAGGGGCAGGGCAAGGTAGGAGGGGGATGGTGTTTTTAGGTAAGTATAACATTTCAGTCGTACTGAGGGAGGATAGTCCTGGGAAAACTTCCATTGAAGTTATATGGATGAAACTAAGAAATAAGAAAGGGATGATCACCTTATTGGGATTGTACTATAGAATTGCAGGTAGACAGGGAAGTGAAGGTGGTGTTTGGGACGCTCACCTTCATTGGTCAGTGCACTGAGTATTGGAGCAGGGATATCATGTTGCGACTGCAGAAGACATCAGTAACGCCACTTTGGTCTCCCTGCTATAGGAAGGATGTTGTTCAACTTAAGAGGATTCAGAAAAGATTTACAAGGATGTTGCCAGGATTGAAAGGTTTGAGTTGTAGGGAAAGGCTGAATAGGCTGGGGCTTTTTCCCTGGAGCATCAGAGACTGAGGGGTGACCTTATAGAGATTTAAAAAATCATGAGGGGCATGGACAGGGTGAATAGCAAAGATCTCTTTCCCAGAGCAAGGGGGTCCAAAACTAGAGGGCATAGGTTTAAGGTGAGAGGGGAAAGATTTAAAAGGGACCTAAAGGGCAACTTTTCCACACAAAGGGTGGTGTGTGTATGGAACAAGCTGCCAGCAGAAGCGGTGGAAGCAGGCACAATTACACCACTTAAAAAGGCATCTGGATGGGTACATGAATAGGTAGGGTTTAGAGGGATATGGGTCAAAAGCTGGCAATGGGACTAGATCACTTCAGGATATCCAGTCGGCAAGGACGAGTTGGACCGAAGGGTCTGTTTCCATGCTGTGTAACTCTATGACTGCAAACGCTGTATTGTTGGGCCAATTAGACTGCCTGTTCCATAGAGGAAAGGAGCAAAGCACAGGGTAAAATATAGTGTCAAGACACGTGCCTTCATGCATTATTTGTTTTAGCCATTCCTTAAGACTTCTAAGTATTAAATGAGCTGTTAGAGAAAATGGGCCAGCAGCACAAAATTGCCAAACTTCTTAAACAGCTCACGAGGATGACTGTGTGGGAAATGGAAATGCGACCAGGCAAAATATGACAATTTTGTGTGGACTCTATGTGGTAACTGAACAGAATGAAGAGAAAAAGTATGAAAAATGTGGTGGCGGCGTCCCAACAATAGTTATGGTTGCATTAAACATTTAAAACTAGTAGCCTTTTGCTAAAAATTTGCTAAAACTGAATAATAATGATTCAGCCAGAGTTGTCTACATTTTGACTGTTCAAAATTCCTCTTGTCCTTTTGCCCCTGCTTCTCTGCAATTTTTAGGATGCTTTTTGGAGTCTACTCCTGTGAGGACAGTTAGAAAATAATGGTTCAAAGCCTTCCATACTTCCCGCCCCCACATTGTTAAATCATTATTATTCAGTAATTTATCCAGTCTCACTCGCTAGTTTTCTCAGATTTGCCAAATTCTCCATTTTCCATACATCCTTCACTGGTGTTTAATGTTTTTACAATCTCCTACCCTATTTTTCTGTAGTGTTTTCTGAAGTATATAGAAACATACATAGAAAAACAAAAGATAAGAGGAGTCTGTTCAATGCCTTGATCCAGCTCATTTATTCATTAACGATCATGAGGAATCATCAAGCTCAATACTAGGGATTAGGATCCCACCCTCCCCCATATCTCTTGATCTCTTGATCATAAGAGCTATATCTACCTCCTTCTTGAAAGCAAAACCAAGCAAGGGAAAAATGAAATACCTCTTTAAATATCTGTCATTGCTTTTCTACAAACCTGCGTTTTAACCCACTCCACTTCAACCAATTTTGGCTTACAACACTGTTACTGCCTATATTTAAGTTTAAAAGTTCCAAACCAAATTTCTAACCACCATTTTTTGTAACTTAATGTGAAATGCGATCATGCTGCAATCACTCTTACCTAGAGGACTCTTTGCTCTGAGGTAATTTGTTAATCCTACCTCATTGCACATTACCAGTCCAAATTGGTCTGTTCCCTGGTTGGTTCTGGAACATATTGCTCAAAAGAAACTGTCCTGAATACCCTATGAATGCATTCTCTGGCTGTAGCACCAGCGGTCTGCTAGCATAGTTTGTGATCTACACTAACCATATCAAAAATATCTACTGCATGAGGAATATCTGCTTGGAGTTGATGAGCTGGACACTGCAATGAGTCAAGAAGCGTAAAATTACTGTGACATTTTGTTTCAGGAGACCATCACATTCCTCAAGTGCAGTATTTCAGATTAGGTTTATGGTCATGGACAGGGAGGTGTGACTGTAGGAAAGGCAATTATGTGGATCTAAAAAAGGTATCAATGGAGGAGTCTCAGCCTTGCAATTGTTCTATAGTTTTCAGGTTCTTACAGCTTGAGACAGAGAAAGGGGGAGACAGAGCAAGCGAGAGAGCGAGGAGAGACAGAAGGAACTACACAAAGGATGAACAAACTGATCCTTGCACTGTAGTTCAAGAGGCCATTCAAGCAGGGAATGCAGAAAGGAATACAGTAGTAGTAGTAAGAGAACGTATAGGCAGGGGGATAGACACTGTTCTCTGCAGACAAGAACTCAAGTCCTGAAGGCTGTGTTACCCGCCCAGTACCCAGGATAAGGACGCCTTGTCAGAGTCGCAAAGGAACAGACAATGGGAGGAGCAGGATCCAGCTTTCATAACTGAATGAAAGAGGTGGGACCAAAAGATATTCTGCTGAGTAGTAGGAACAGCTATGGACTAAATTAAAAAGCAGAACAAAAAAAAGGTAATAATTGCCAGATTTACAATCTGATCTACAAACAAATTGACACAGAGTATATAATATCAGAGTGTTGAATACATAGCTCAAAGATTGCATCGGAAAAATGGGTTTCAATTCATGGGGCATTGACAACAGCACTGGAGAAGGATCAGCACCATCAGGACAGCTTTCACCTGAACCACCTAGAACTAGTATACTGACATCATAAAATTAGAGCTCTAGACTCAATAATGGGGACAGCGGTGTAAGGGGAGATGGGCAAGTTGGATGGGCAATATATGTTGGGCAGCCAGTGACGGCCATGTCCCACAAATGAAGAAAGAAAAGCAGTTGAAGGGAAAGGACAAGGCAATAGCACAGTCGTGACACAGGTAAATTTAACCAAAAAGTCAACAAGAAAGAACCAGATCATATGAACACAATGCACCAGGAAATAAAGTCAGAATGAGTAGAAATGGCAAAACACAAAATTAAAAGGCTAGTTATTAAAAAGCACACAGCATTTGAACAAGTTTGATGAATTAATAGCCCAAATACAACCGAATGAGCAAGATATTGTAGGCATTAGACTCAAGTATCTGAAATTTTCCAGACAACAAACATTAGTCAAATCACTGAACTTTTTCAGTTAGCAGCTGACCAGTGTGAAATAAACCCAACAAGCAAAATAATGTGCGGAAACATAAAGAAGATCAGCGTGAAAACTCGCATTGCTATGAAAAAAAAAATCTAGATCAACCTACACTTGCAGAATATCTCATGGTGAAAGTCAAACATGTTCCTGCAATGGTTTCTTACGCCTATAGATGGCACAATGTTAGAAACTTCAGTTATAACCATGCCCTCCACCTTATAAAATTGATAAGGTTTTAAAAAGCTACTGGTACTCAATTTCAAATTCTGGTTGCTAGATGATTCTTAGACTTTGTTTTTGTTTCTTCTGAATGTGTTCCACGTTCTTTCCTATGCTAGTTGAGCACCTTTTATGTTTTTAATTAATTTTCACTTATTGATAGTCCATGAAAGTCACCAATCTAAATTGGCTTAATTCCAGCAAATAAGGTAAAATAATAGATCAAAATTGTTTCTAGTGAACCTTGATCAGAAACCCTGAATATTAAATAATCATTAATGGCTTCTTGAAATGCCTTAATTGAACCTGCATCCACCATAATCACATGCTGTGTGAAAAGTATTTTCTCACATTTGCTTCTTTTGAACATTACTTCCTATCTGTATCCTCTCATTCTTGATTCTTTTAATGAGCAGCAACTGCTTCTCCCCACCTACTTTCTCCAGACACCTCGAGATTTTGAAAATTTGAATAATTGCTTATTGTCTCCTATCCTCAGCCAACTTTATAAACATTTATTTCATGAGCTTATAAAGGTTTCTTGTGTTAGATGGGATGGTATCAAATGTCTATTGGAAATCCATGCACACCATATCAATAACATTAACCTCATCAAAACATCATTAAACATGATGTTTTACCTTAAAACAAAATTGGGGCTAACTCTTCCCAATTAACCTACATTTTTCCATCCAACTATCAATTCTGTCCTGAATAATTGTTTCAAGAGGCTTTCCTACCACTAAAGTTAAATTGACTGGAACCAATACACCAACTTCCTTCTCCCTACGTCCTTCACTCACATTCACAAACAGGAGCAGGAAAGTGTAAGCTTATGCAATGGGAAATGTTAAAGGGAAAGGAACTCAAAAATAATGTGACAAAGCAAACTGAGAAGCATATAGCAACAAATTTGCAGAGAACAACCTCAACACCAATGTTATGCAAAACTAAAATTTTCAGATACTACATTTCTATAATTGACTCAAAATTCTCTTCCTGGATAAAGACTAATATTACAACAGTAAACCTATCAAAACTAATTATTACCT